AATGTGCCTAGACCCAAACAAGATAAAATCTCAGATTCCCTTGCAGCTAGGGAAGGCCATGTGACCCTGTTCAACCCAATGAGGCATAAGCTGAAATCTTCTGGAGGCACTAGGAAGTCTTTTCTTTTCCTATGAAGGACATCAGATGCTGCTGGTACTGCCCCTTCTTGCCTTTTTTTCCCCCTTGAGTGAAGACTTGAAGGCTGGAGCTGCAGCAGCCATTGGCCTCTATGATAGAAAGACCAAAAGAATTACAGCAATATCACCCTGACGTTGTAGAACTGGTAAATCAATGCCAGTATCCGTCCTACCTTTCTGTCACGTGAATAGAGTACACCTCTATTTGTTTAGGGCACTATTGGTTGGGTGTTCTGTTTTCTGCAACTGAACACATTTCTAAAATGGAGATGACTTAAGTGTGCCTGCAGAGATGCCCCGTGTACCGAGGGCAATCCAGGCACTCCCGGGCATTGCCAACTACTGGGCACAAGTGACGCTATAGTGGTAATGATAAACCAAGTGTCACTGGCTCAGCTCCTCCTATCCACACAGAAGCTCCAGTTCTTCATCCTTTAAAGTCTCATTATCCAACGCCTTTTAAGCCACCTATGTCATTATGAAAGTATCTGGGTGTGACATTGATCTATCAATGGTGTTAAACTGTGTAATGGAGCACTTAGGCAAAACTAGGTTTTCTAGAAAATAAGTAACGTCTCTCCTCTTATTATGCAGTTATGAGGTAAGTAGGCAAACACATTTGCTCTAGGAAAGGGTCAACAAAAATATCCAAAGAAGGTTTTGATGTTTGGAGCTGGTTATGGAGGTAAAGATATTTGCATAGGGACTGGCAGCCTCCTGGGAGGACTGAACTCAAGACCCTGACTCACCCTTTCGTTTTGGGTTTAAGGTTAATGGGAGACTTTCTGTTAACTAAGTTGGTCCCTTCTGAGATCCTTTGATAGGAAAGGATAAAAGCACACCAGAGAAGAAACTCACCCTCAGGAATTAGGGAGTTAGATTTGGTGAACTGAGTTAATAGCCAATTTAGAAGTTTATTAGAGTGGCTGGTCCTCCCAGCCCTGCAGTTCTGGTTGTGCTTTGCTCTGTGTGTCCTTCTGTGTGGAACAGCAACTATGATTATGCAGGTGTTGAACTGTGTAGGACCAGTTTTCAACAGTTACCCACTGTAGCAGCCAACAAGTAAGTCTGTTCAACCCTGAGTCCATCTGGCTTTTAAGAAATGGAACAGGTCCTGATGCACCAAGTAAGTATCTCTGGTTCCAGGACAGTTTGGAGAATGGTGAGTTAGAGAGGTAATATTGCACAGTAGATAAGAGAACAAACTCTGCAGTCAGACTGCTTGGGTTCAAGTTCCCACTGCTACTTACAGTAATGTACAGGTCTGGCCTGTGGGTATGCAGACCTGTGTAGTCTCACAGGGCCCCCTCCTTAAATAGGCTTTATGCTTGGCTTGATGATTGGTGTCTTGAAAGTCTTAATATGTTTTGAACAAGGTCCTCATGTTTTAATTTTATACTGGGCCCTGCAAATTATGCAGCCAAGTCTGCTTAGGCAAATGATTTTGAAGGCTGGAGGCTATACCTCTGTTTCCCTGTCTGTAAAATGGGTAAAAAATATTACCTGTCTCAGAGAGTTGTTGTATTATATACATTAAATACATTAGAACAGGATCGGGCACATAGCTAGCTCCATGTATGTGTTAGCTGTTGCTATGATGTTTATCAATGGAGGCAGCTGAGGACTCCAGCAATTAATCTGTAAAACACAGAGAGGTGACTGCATCCCTGTTTCCAGCTAGTGAGGCTGATCAGATCAAGCACACAGGGAACAAGGCAAGGAGTGGGAAATGTGACCCCTCGACTTCCTTCTCACACCAGATGAGATGCCTCATTAACCCCACATCCATCTGGGCCCACAGAGCTGACAAAGAGGGGAACACTGAGACCAGAGCAGTGTGGAGTCAAGGCTAACCTCCTGCCTGAGGGCCTGACAGCAGAAGTCAGGCATGGCTCAGAGGAGCAGGCTAGAGCCCTCCTGGACACAGCTTGAGTCCTCCCAAGGAGCCAGGCCCAGGCCAACCTGTCCTCGGATTCAGGCCTCCTCTCCTCCCCCTGGAGATGGCATAACAGTCAGGGAAGGGGAGCCTAACGCCAGCCTTCCTTCCAGCCTCCACTCTTGCCTTGAGGCTGTCTTGCATCAAAGACCTAGATCAGAGGGAAGGGTGTAGTGGAGAAGGCTTTCATATGAGAAGTATTCTCAAAAACTTATAATCATTGACATATAACATACAAGCAAAAAGGAGTAGGATCTTAAGTGTCCAGCTTAAAAATCCTACTGAAACAAACACATTCACTTCAGACATATAGTGTCCTCAGCACCCTGAAATCTCCCTCCAAGTTATTCCTCCCTCCCAATTCAACCACTGTCTTGCATATTATTTTTAAAAAACATTAGATTTCATTTTTCCTAATTTTTATTTAAAAATTCCAAATCTGTATAGTAAATTGGAAGAACAGAATAGGAATACCCACATGTTCACTTAACATACCAGTTATTAACATTTGCTGCAAATTCTCTGTTGTCTTTCTTCCCGTCTTTCTCCTTTTCTCTCTGTTGTCTCCCTATTCCTACACATGCAATTTTCTGAACCATTTGAGAGTTGTTTATAGACAGCATGACCCTTTGTCTCTCTTTCTCTCTCTCTTTATGGTGCTGGGGATTTAATCCAGGGCTTCAAGAATTTTAGCCCCAGCAACACTTTTTATCTCTGAGTGTTTCAGCATATATCTCTTAAGAATGAGGGCATTTATACAGTGTAATTATCACACTCAAGAAATTTAACATTGCAGGGCTGGGGTTGTGGCTCAGTGGTATTATGCTTGCCTTGCATGCGTGGGGCACTGGGTTCGATCCTCAGCACCACATAAATAAATAAAATAAAGGTATTGTGTCCTAAAAAAAAATTAACAAAAGAAATTTAACATTGCTACAGTGTTGTATAAGTTAAGATTCGTATCTTGATTATTTCAGTAATGTTCTTTATGGATATATATTTTTAAAATCAATAATCCAAACTTGAAGAATATTTTGAATTCAGTTGTATATCTCTTTCATGTTTTAAAATCTAGAAAAGTGGGCTGCGGATGTGGCTCAAGCGATAGCACGCTCGCCTGGCATGCACAGGGCACTGGGTTCGATCCTCAGCACCACATAAAAATAAAATAAAGATGTTGTGTCCACCGAAAACTAAAAAATATATATTAAAAAATTCTCTCTCTCTCTCTCTCTTTAAAAGAAAATCTAGATAAGTTTCTTACATTTGCTTTTTATGATATTGACACATACACTTTTTTTTTTCAGTGCTAGGGATCAAACTCAGTGACTCACACATGCTAGGCAAACACTCTACCACTGAGTTATAGCCCTAGCCTGAGACTGATGTTTTCAAAGAGTACCAGTATGTTTGTATAATGGATTTGTAGTTCAGAATTTGTCTCATTATTTGGTCATGATTGGACTTAGTTTAAACATACTTGTCAGGTACACTATATGAGTTTTATTATTAAGATATATTTATTATTTCTGATTAATTTATTATTAATAGTAACTGCAATTTATTGAGCATCCATCATGTGATGTGAGTATTATTGTGCCCATTCTACAAATGAGGTAACTGAGGCAGAGAGTGGCTGAGTATTTCCCAAGGTCATTTGGTCAGATGAGATGCACTAGGATTGGCTCTTGCTGCAGTACCATACTCATGACCTCTATAACCAACCACCGGTGATGACAGGGAAGAGAAGGAGGCTGTGCCCAGGAGGGTAGGGACTGCATATGTTCTCTGTTGAAGTCCATGATTCTCTAAGGCCAAGCCCAGAGCAAGGGTCCATAATTGCTTATTGAATAAATGAATGAATGATTGTTCTGTGAACAAAGAACAACATGGAATCCACAGTGTAGTGTCATCAGAATCACCGAGAAAGATTGTCAGAAATATGTATCTATGGACCCCGCTGTGATCCACTGAATTCACAACTCTATTGGTAGGACTGAGGATCTGTATTAATCAGGTTTTCCTAATAATTGTGACAGAGACAAAATTAAGTGAGAAAAGCAAGTTTAGAAACAGTATGTACTGCCTAATTTCGTATATCTCTTTCTCTGTGTGTCAAGGTGATGAGGTTAGATATGGATTTACAGTTTCAAGAAGGATGCTAGGAAACTGTTACCATGCCTGCCTCTGAGGAGTGGGTCCCGGGCCTGGAGGGTAGGAGGAGAACTTTACCTTCTACATTATGCATTATCAGAAATGACACAGGGTTGAATTAATGTGTTCTTATTGTAAAAAATTAACACCATAGATAAGTAAGACCATTATATAATTTATCACTGAAACAGAACACTTTTGAGAGTGAAAAGCAAGCACTATTATTAGTCACACCTGCAACAGGGAAAACAGAGGCCTCTTGGGCAAACCTGGACAGGTGGTCACCCCGTGAAAACCAGAGTCCCCTTTGATCCTTCCATCTGGTTATGTCTACCCCCAACCAGAGGCAAATGCTGTGATCAGTTTGATGTGTATTTTTCAGATCTCATAAGTACAATATGTAGCCCTTGAAAGTTCTTTGTTTGGAGATATCTCTTTTTTCCATAAGTAATATCATGCATGCAAGTTGTGTTTTCTTCACGCGACAGTGTATTTTGGAGACTTAGCCATGTCAAGCCTGCATGGACCTATTTTCATTAACAGCTGTATAGATAGCATTCTGCATGTGAATAGACCCTCTTGTTTTTCCTTGTGGATGGAATTTCACCTTGTTTCCTAGTATTTGTAATTAACAACAAGGCTAATGATCATGATGTCCATATGTTCCAACAGTGGAACAACCTAGCACCCATCAGAAGTCCATCTAATGTTAAAACACTACCAAGAAGTAATATTTTAAGGAACAACTGAATTTATGAGCATGTTTCCTCACCAGCCTTGAGGTTCTTCAATTTTCCTGTCCAGGGAGGGTACAGGGCAGGGGGGTCCAGAAGTGGGGCTTTCCCCAGCTTCACCATCAGATCTTCAGAACATCTTTGGCCACTCCAGATCTTTCCTGCATCTGAGGTTTGACAGCTGCCAGAACCTCCATTCTTGATGTTCTTCCTCTTTTCTGCAATTTATGAGATTTTAAAAAATTCATCCCAGGTGACAGTTGGATGTGGTGGAAAGAGCTTAGGTTTTGGAACTAGACAGATTAAGTTTAACTCCCAGTTCTAACACCAACTGGCTACATGACCATGAGTAAATTGCTTTACCTTTCTGGAAGTTTAGTTCTTCATTTGTAGAATAGGGAAAATATTATCCATCTCACAACTGTGAGCACTTAGGTGGGTTGACAGAGCTGGTAATGGACTTACCTTTTGCTGCCACAAAGTGAGCCCTCCATAAGTGTTCATCTTTCTCTTGTCTTACTATTGCTTTGTGTGTATCGGTGGCACTACAAAACCAGGAAGCTCCCTATGGGTGCTCCTACAGGCAAAGGTTATGTCCTTTTCCTCTTTGGCACCATCTCTACCCCTAAGTCCTAGGACAGGATTGGTAAACATTTTGGGACCCAGGAAGGAGGCAGGAATACAAGGAGGCTGCTCCAGGGCTGGGTTCATCTTTATCCAGGGTCCTGGGGGCTACCTAGAAAAGGACAGGGAAACAAGCCCTGCTTTTGGACAGATCCCTCCCTCATGGGAGTTTCTGATCAGATAGGAGCAATCGTTCCTAACCCAGGGGTCTCCAGGCTTTGCCGCCAGGGCATCTCCTAGTCCCATGGAAGGACTGGTCAGTAGCCTCTGAAGTGTCTAGCCTGATGAAGGAGACCTCATACTTACTCCTGGGAAGTTTCCAGACTGATGGAAGAGGCACACTCTCACCTGGGAAGGCTTCCCAACTTTTAGTGCAGATTTCACTCGGCAGGACCCTCATTTCGTTACCTATGTGTGCATGTTGCTCTCTGCACTGGACTGTGAGCTTTGTGAGGGCCGATGTGATATCTCACCTTTGGGATCTCTGGTCCCAGATTGTTGCTGGGCATCCTGGAGGATGTGTGTAGATTGGGCACATTCTCAAGGCTCCTCTTTTATAGGAAGAATCAGAGTCCTCTGCTACTCAAGGGCACAGAAAGAGCAATTTAGAGAGCGAGGGTGATCATCAGAGGCCCAGGAGGAGGGGCTGGTGGGGGGGTCACCTGGGTCCAGGCAGAAGGCCTGCTCGGGCACCTGGCCTTGCCTGTCCTCCCACATCCCCTTGCATCCCCTTCTGGAAGGTTCTGCAGCTCCTTGAGTCTCAGAGGAGCACCCACATGTCCTCTTCTTGTGAGGACCATGTGCTGAGAGGCCACCTCTGTCAGCCTCAGAGGTGAGAAGACTTGTCAGACCCTGAGCTGACGGGCAAGTCAAAACTGCTGGTTAAATGGCTTTAAAGTAGTGGCCATTTATAAGTTAATGAAAGAGAAAATAGGCACATTATACATACAGATTTGTCCTTAATGAGGGGAAAAGGCATTGTTTACTGATGTTCAGTTCTAATTATCCACGCACCCGGCTAGCTGCTTTCCAGCAGTGCTGTGCGCCCTGCGCTCCCATCTTCCACCAGCTCCTTTAACCCCTTCTGTGCCACTTGGACCCGGCCCACCCCACTACCCCCAAGCATCAGGTGCCAGGGCTGGCTGAGTGGCCCCTTCCTAAGTCTGCGGGGACTTTGACCCTGGCAGACAGACCTAGCAGCAGCTTGCATCTTCTGTTCTCCTCAGTGGGGTGTCCAGGTGGAGGGCGATGTTGCCAGGACCCTCCGGGCAGCCACCCTTGGAGGGAGGCAGAGCTCCGCATGGCTGCTCTTTGAGGGCGGGAGGGGCTGCAGGGTAGAGGAGGACCCAATGGGCGAGGCAGATGGAGGTGGGGACGGCAAGCTGGGACTCCCCGTAGGGAAGTACTCAGGAATACCACCCACAGTCCCATTCTTTATGGTTTCTCTGAAGCCATCAGGAAGGAAGGTGGCCCCACTGGGACAGGCCAGCAGCACAGGACATCCAAGTGGACACCTCACTGGAACCATTGCAGAGAATACCCTGTCCGTTCTCAATTCAGCATCTGCACACATGAGGTCACCCTGGCACAAACAGATAACCCTTCACCCAGATCCCAGCCTTTGGCCCAGCCTGCTAGTTGCTGCTTGTCCTCAGCAGGAATAAACCAGCTACAGAGAGGAGAGTGGAACATCATGACCACCTGCCAAAGTGTGGGGTTCCCAGGGTCTGCTGGGCTTGGGAAACCAGTAAGGAAGGAAGGAAAAGGAGTTGTCCACTGAAGGGTTGGGGGAGATGGCCACCCCAAGCCCTAATCATCCGGGGGCACTTTGAGATGTCTTTTTTTTTTTTTTGAATTGTTTTCTGGCAGTACTGGGGATTGGACCCAGGGCTGCTCTACCACTGAACTACATCCCCAACCATTTTTATTTTATTTTGAGATAGAGCCCTGCTAAGTTGCTCTGGCTGGCCTTGAACTTGTGATCCTCCTGTTTCAGCCTCTCAAGTTTCTGGGATTATAAGTGTGCCACTGTGTCTAGCCCAAGCTGTCTCTAAGAGGCTATAAGAACTTGGCTTTCCCTTGAACTCTGTGGATGAGTCATGGGCAGCATTTCTAACTAGCAAGGTGCACAATGCATCCTCCGCTCTGCCCTAGGAAACCTGGAGTATTGTGGCTGGGGCTGTAACGGGTGGCAGACCACCACCTCTACAACCAGTAGGAAAGAGACCACGACATGATCCCACAGCACTGTTTTAGGGGTCTGGATGATTAAAAAGGCATTTGGATGACTTTATATCAATTCATTTGAATATACAAAATACACAAAAATACAGAAGTCCTAGAAAAATACAAGTGATCAAAACTGACAAAGGAATAGAAAGCCTGAATAATCCCATAACCATTAACATGAATCATTAATTAAAGATCTTCTCTTAGCTGGGCTCAGTGGTGCATGCCTGTAATCCCAGTGACTTGGGAGGCTGAGGTAGGAAGATTGAAATTCAAGATAGCCTGAGCAACTTAGGGAGGCCTTAAGCAAGTTAGAGAGATCCTCCAAGTAAAAATAAAAAATAAAAGAGGGCTGGGGATGTGGCTCAGTGGATAAATCACCCCTGGGTTCAAACCCTGATACAATCAATCAATCAATCAATCAATCAAGATCTCCCCTTAGAGAAAAGTCCAGGCTCCAGTGCAGCCCTTCTTTTGGCAGTCATTGGACAATTGTTGCTATTAATAAAGCTGAAACTCCCATCTGCTGTCACCTCCTGAAGCCTCTTCTACACACTCAAACCTTGAGATAAGGCAAGTCATGTGCCAGTTCTTCTTCCCATCTTTACCTCAGAAGATGTGTCCTGTATCACCTTTCTCACCAACACTTCCTCTTTATTGCAAGTTTGAACTGGTAGCCAAAGGACCTTTTATGAGCATATCTATTAAGAGTCTTTGGGTCAAGCAAGCCACCTATATTCTTATTTAATCTGCACAAGCATCCTGCAAGAAGGATGTTGTTATCCCCTTGGGAGGCCCACAGAGATGGCCTGATTCATTCAAGTCACAAGATAGTGAGAGGAGATAGGAAAGATGGACCCCAGGGCACCACCTAATGCTGAAGCCTGCCCTTTCCCTCTAAGGCATGTTGCCACCCCGGGGCCATCCCACTCCATCCTCAGGGGTAGAAAGGTCATGACTGAGTCCACACTCCATACCCATCTCCATCTTTCACCATCTAGGCCAGAGTTTTAGACCTCTCCACCCTGATCACAATGCTTGGGAATTTCTCTAATTGGTCTGTGACCCTTTTACATGGCAGCCCTGAGAGCTGAACCTGCCAATGAAAGCTATGGTTGGCTATTCTGGTTATGTAGCATTAAGTTAAAAATTACCTCAAACTTAATGGTATAAACAACCACTTATGTTTTATACTCTGTGGCCAACTGTGAGATGAAGGGGGACTTGAACTTCCTGTATTGTGAAGGGGGACTTGAATTTCCTGTATTGTGTTGCTGAGAGTTTAGAAATTCCAATAGGGCGCATTGGAGGTGCTTTACCTCTGTTCCATGATGCTTGGGCCTCTGCTAGAAGGTTCCAAAGCAGAAGTTGGCTCAACTTCTAGGGGCTGGAATCATTTGAATCATCTGACGCATCTCGTATGCATCTGGTGGTTTGTACAGGCTGTTGGGTGGGCCTTGTGACCAGAATGTCAGTATGTGGCCTTTCCATGTAGCTTTAGCTTCCTCACAATATGGCAGCTGGGGAAGAGAGCCAGGTGAAAGCTGTGTTACTTTGTATACTTAGCTTTGTTGGTTATGTAGCATCACATTTACTACATTTCACTACAATTTCAAGGGAAAAGGAAATAGACTCTACTTCTTGATGAGGGAGTGTCAAGGTTCTAGAAAATCAGGGAAGACTGGAAATGTTACTGTGGTCCCTTTTAAAAATATGGTGTGCCTCATCATCTTCACCCAGAGGAAGCTCTCCAACAGGGAGACCTGAGATATGCCTAGGATGTTGTAGTGTCATCCATTCAGAGTCTAGTACATGCTAGGTGCTGCCTTCCTCTCCATCCAAAGCTGCACAGCCTCCGGATCCCACCTCTACCCAGATTCTGCCCTTGAGGCCCTGAGAGATTTGATCAAGATGAGGGAACTTTGGGCTTAATTCTCTCCAGCCCACTGGGAACATTGCTCTGGGTCGCTGTGACTACAGCCCAGAGAAAAATTTCTCCCTCTGGGGGCTGCTATTGAATTAAAATTTTATATTCCCATTTCTTAAAGAGTAGGTATATTGAACAGTTTCTATATATGGAAGAAGAAAACAAGAAGTCCTGTTTTTACTTATATGTAGCTCTTGTTTTTGTTGATCCCATGGGAAAAAATGAGTTTCTTCCATAGGGAAGAAGTTCTCAGAAGTGGGAGAACTGGCTTGTGAATTCCATCATTGGGGTGCTGAGTAAGAGCCTCTCTGCCCTGTTTTTGGCACAGGAGCATGGTTCACACAGCTGGCTCACTGGCTGTCACCCTGGAAAGTGTAATGAGCTGATCATGACAAGTGGAGAGGCACCTGGTACAATAATAACTAGTACACCCACATTCTACACTCTTGCCTGAGCATTTTATACAACATGGTCCCATTTAATCTGCTTAATAATGCTGTGAGGAAGGGACTGATGTTGTTTTCACAGATGAGGAAGGTAATTTCTTTAAGGCTCAGAAAGTGTAAGTAGTTTTCTCCAGGGTACCCAGCTAGGAAGTGATGGAACTGAATCCAGACCCATGTGCTCCAGAGCCTCTTCTCTTAACATGGAGCCATGATGGGCAGACAGCAGGCTTCACAGCTTAAAAGGAGGAGCAGGAGTTGCAGTATAACACAGGAGGCACACAGGTTTGGGGTGTTAATCTCTCCTGGTTGGACACTAGAGATTTATTCTGCTGCCTTAGTCTCCTCATCTGCAAATGGGGATCATACCTACTGCAATGGATTGTCTTAAGCACTAGCACCGTACTCCAGACCCAGTGGGTAGCATGCATGGTTAAAGATTCTCCTTCTCTTTGTCTTTCCTCTATTTTTTTTGCCTTGAGCCCATCTTGGGGAGGGGGCTTCCCTACTCAGGGAAGTAGAGAAATGGCCAGGACAAGTCTGCTGTCCATGGACACTCCAGAGTCTCCGGTTCTTTGAGCTCCCTCTGGATTTCAGGACTCCAATCCCTCTTTACTGTGATTTTCATTGGGAGAACTTTAAATGATTTTATAAAAACTGCAAATGTACAAGGTAATTGAGTCTTCTGTTTTATTACCCTGAGCTGCCTGGACCTTGCCTGGCCTCCTCCTCACTCACAGAGCCGCCAGAATAAAGTTGGAAGTGTTTGTGCTGGTAATATATAGGACTTAATTAACCTGGCCTTTTATAGCATTTCCAATGGAGGGTTGGAACGAACTTCGAGGCAGCTTGAGAAAAGGGAAGGGGGGCCGGGGTGGGAGTATGTATGTACGTACAACACTTGATGTTGGTTTTCCCCTCCTGTTCTTTCCTCCAGTACTTTAATCAGCACTTAATGACCCAGTCGAAAATTCATCATTCGGACCCAAGCTGGTGGGAAGGCCTGGAGGAGAAGGCTGCCTTTCTCCCTGCCTCTCATACCTCGTACAAGTCAGTGAGTCCCTACTATGCCAGCCACATTCCAGAAACTTCCAGCAGAGCTTAATCCTGCTCATTTTAAGTAGGAGACAATGAATGGACATTAACTAATGGACTCCCTGTGTCGCCAGCTAACGGTGTCCCCTACTCCAGTGTGAACCAACCTGAGATGGGTCCAGTAGAGCATGTCCCCATTACCGGGACCCAAGACTGAGTTAATGTCCTACCCAGCCTTCCCACTCCCTCTCCGATCCCCAACATTTCTACTCCATTCCTGTCAGTACAAAGCTGGGTGTAAACTGGACACCCTTCTAAACCAGCCCTGGAAAAAGTGACTCAATTCAGATCCACCCCGGCCACAGAAGGAAGGGTGTTTAACTGCCAGCGTGCCTTCATGTCTTACAACTATTATTTTCGGGAGACTTCCAAGCGAGGGCAGTTAGGGTAAGTGCCTCTCACCAGCTGCCTGCTCAGACCGTGCTCCAGATACCCTGGCTCATAAATCCTGCCCCAACACTGCCGAGCACTTACATCATCCCCAAACCTCATGCAACAATTCGATTTGGAAATAAAAAGGCAGGTGTTAATTGACTCACTCCCTTTGCCCCTTTGTGGTGCCCCTGACCCTCGATAGCTTTTAACCTTGCAGTTAATAAAAGTTTGGGGCCCAGTCCCAGCACAGTTCCTCATTCATTCTTTCATAACGTCAGCACATTCTTCCTGAGTGAGTGTAATGCACAAGTCACTGGCCAGACCCTTCGAGGGGGAGGATTAAGTGGCCAAAGATGAGCGAGAAGCATTCCATGCCTTAGGAAGGCCTACAGAGGATGGCCACAAATAACACGGACTTGGGCAGCACAGGCTGTGGGCTCTCAGGGAAGGCCTGGGTGCAGCCAGAATTCTGGGAGAGTCTCCTGTTCTTGAGTTGGTCCACCCAGCACCTATACCTCCTCCAAGAACACCCAGGTTCTCCTTTGGGGAACTCACATTTTTCACTAAATTTGTCATTCCAAATGGGGCTGAATGTTGGGTGCCCAGGAATCAGTCCATGAGTATAGCTAGCCAATCAGAGCAGGTTGGCCCCTGGTCACAGACAGATTAGTTCAGCTACCAGCTTGGGACTGGAGCTCGGCCAGGAGTTGCTATTGCTCAACTCCCGGGAAGCAGACACTCTTTCCATTGGAACTGGACCCAAGTAAGCAGCAGTGGCCTGCTGGTGCCCATTTAGCCTCACCTAGGGGAGGCTTTCTGAACCCCAAAGCAAAGCCACTGCTTCATTCTCTCCTGAGAAAGTGGCTATGGCTTTAAGCCCTGGCAGTCTCCTATGCCACTGTGAGTAGATCTGGGTTTTTCCAGTGTGTATACAATCTCATGTCCAAGTGACCCTTTGTCCACCTTCAACTAGTCTGTGCCCAGGAAAGTCAAGGAAAGGAGAGCTGAGTGATGGGAACAAAAAGATGGTTGAGGAGGCTGGGGAGCTGGATCCAGCCTGCCTAGGGCCAGACAGCTCTTGAACTTTGATTGCATCGAACCAGAAAGTGGCCTGGGCTCTCTTCCTTGGTTTACACTTGAGTGAGTCAGATTTCTCTGAATTTATGTTGCATTTCCAGCCTCTGGGTTCCAAGATTTCTAGGTGCAGGAATCAATTGGAAGCTATTCTTGTCCTCCCCCCAACTCAAGGGTGGGCCAAGGAGACAGGGGCTTCTGTCCACTTTCCCATTTGTGATAGAGTCAGAGCACTTCAGGGTCAGGGCCCTGAGCACATAAGTTGAGGGGGCACTGCTGCTTTGTGGGACTCTAAGAGTGAGTCCTCCTTAAATTTTGCAGCTTGGGCTCCTCTTGCTTTTCCCTAGTCCTGGCCTTGTTCAAGACGCTAGGGGTCCACTCCCACCCGTTCCTAACCCCAGCCTGAAGAATTCATAGTTGATGACTGTTGTCTCCCCTCCACCCCTGAGACACACACACACACACACACACACACACACGCAGAAAACGTGGCTCATTCTCTAAACCTTGGAAGATAATGTTCCATAGAGGCCTGTTCTGGGGATTTACCGAGTCAAAGCAGAGCAGAATCCAATGCCACTCATTCTAGCCGAAGTATCCTTTAAGGGTAGTTGACCTACAGCATCCATGTTTGAGAAGAGGCTCAGGCACCCAGAAATCAAACCAATGAAAACTCTTCAAATTAGAGTGGGATCAGGATCCATTTGGGACACTATATTTACTGTTATCATTATTTATTTATGTCCCTCCATGATTAGAATTATTTTGTAAGAAGAGATCTTCCCTGGTTATGGACTAGTTGAAGGACAGAGAGACAGGCCCATGGACCTGGGGGACCCCTCTTGGGATAATATACACACCTGAAAACCCAGCTGTGCTCATTGTGGTGCAGAGAAGCTGGGGCCAGAAGTCAGAGCACCCCGTCAATAGTAGCAGCTGGCTCTGTCTTCAAGGATGACTCTTCACTCCCCTGACCCCTGTTAACCTCTGTGTGATGCAGGATGGGCTCTGGGGCAGAGATCTGGTTACAGTTCTTGCTCTTACTAACTTAGGCAAGTCTCACTCTGAGATTGTTTCCTCCTTGTTATTCCTCAGTGGGAATCATTAAGATACTTTCCTCTTAGATTGTTTTAGGATTGAATGAGATAATGAAGTGCTCAACACAGAGCCTGGTGTAAATTCTCAATGAATTATTGTTGTTAATATTGTTATATCAAACAAGGGAGCATTTAGAAGATCAAAAATATTGCCACACTCATTCTAGATCCATTCCCAACCCTCCGAGAACTGACAGTTGTGGTTTTCAGAGCATTAGAAAAATATTGTGGAGCTGGATGTGGTGCACACCTGTAATCCCATCTACTTGGGAGGCTGAAGCAGGAGGATTGCAAGCTTGAGGCCAGCCTCAGCAACTTAGTGAGACCCTGTCTCAAATAAAAAAAATAAAAGGGGTTGGGAATGTGACTCAGTGATCAAGCACCCTTGGGTTTAATCCCGATACCAAAAATGAACAAACAAACCAAAACCCCCAACCCAAACCAAAACAAACCACGGCCAACAACAACAAGAACCAATGTGAATTCAATACCAACTATGAAGGGGGAAGAAGCAAGGGCCTGCATTTTCAGTTTTGAGGGTTCCCACTCATCCAACAGCAGCAGCACCTCCATCAGGGTTCTGTTTCCTCAATGGATGCCTTTTCTAAAAATTCTGCAAGGAAACTTGTACCCCTCAGATATACTTGGGTAACCCTTAAACCATTGCATTGTTAATTTCTTTTCTGATGTGCACCCCTTCCTCTAGTTAGATCATTGGCATCTTGAAGATAGGGACAGCTTTGGACTTCCCGAAGCCTTCCCATGTCTAGGAACAGAACATCAGTCTGAGGCTCAGGAGCCTGATAGCTGCCACCTGGCGGATACCATGTGCCTGGGGAAGACAAAATAGAAAGCACAAAAGTCATTACTGGGGATGAAGAGTATCTCCGCTTTGCAGCAGGAAACTCTTACTCTTTTTGGACAACTGGAATAATCAGAAAGTTCTTTCCGAAGTAGCGGCAGTCAGAAAGACCTAGGGCACTCCTTTACCAAGAGCCCTTCCCAAGGCTGCAGTGGCCCTGGGTAGCCAGCTCAGCCTTCCTCCCAGCCCCAGGGCTGCGACTGAACAATGTCAGCTTCTTAATAAAATCAGCACCAATGCCAAGCCCTAACTCCACTGGAGAAATAGCCCTGCGCCCCTCAATCCCATTAACATTTCACACCTTAATGCGGCCATATTTTTGGAAAGCCAATATGAGCTGAGTAGCTTATTGGTATGCAGCTCTGGCTGGGGGTGGAGGCTCTGGGGAGGGGGGCACTCTGGAAAGGGGATGTAATTAAGCCTGAGAATGTTCAATATATGCCCCAAAAGGGGGGTACTCAGGGGTACGAGAGCAAGAACGATGGGCTTGTCCAGAAGCTTTGCACGCACAAAAGCTTGAGTGTTGCTGGGAAGTCCCACCGTGGCTCCCACCCTGGCCCACCCATGCCCCCACCTGAGCAGGGCCACCCATTCACCCTTTGGGTATCTAACTTCACATTTCCCAAGCAGGTCCTATGGCAGCTCTTCTCAGATAAAATACATCATCATTTGCTCCATTAGAAAATAAATGTATGGCTATATTATGGGATTTGCATTCCATTACCTTGGTTTGCATGCCATAAAACATTTATTACACCCTTGGGCTAAAGTCTTAATAATGACTGGGTGCAAGGCACTAATGTGGTGCTAGTCTTGCTCGGGAACCAGAGATTAATGCCTTTTGATGTCACCCAGCTAATAGTTGTGCTCACCAATTTGTCCCATCAGAAGACATTAGAATCAGGCCCTGCATGAGGGTGGGGGATCACTATTGGGCTTTGGAGGGAGCCAAGTCTCCTCCTCTCTGCCCTGCTACCTGGTCTTTCTGGGAGTGAAATTTCAGCATTCTGCTCTTCAATACCCCATTCCATGGTCACACTTGCCCCCAGCTTTGGGCAAGTCCCCACCCAAAGCTGCAATGAGAAAGATTGTGAGAGATGCCATCAGGGGTTTAGATGCCTGCTTTCCTGCTAGACAGCAGTAGAGGTGACTTCCAAGGCAGGGGGCATGTACACACACACACACACACACACACACACACACACACACACACCCTTTCTCTGTTAAGAACTTTATTTGCCAGGCCTGCCCCATTCAGTTCCCTATGGAAGCCCAGTACAGGGGTCCACCTTCAGCCCACAGCCTGGCCTACTCACAGCTCCTACCTGGGACACAGGACCAGGGTGTGAGCTGAACAGGCCCTTTGTGGGTCCTCTGTGGCCTTGGCTGCTTTCGTTGGGGCAGTCTCTGGGGCTAGGCCCTGAGAACGTTCTGTTTGTGGGTTGTTGTGATTCTCTGTGGGGTCCTGGGCTAGGGACGCCCCTACCTTTTTTATTCAAGGTGTGTGGCCAGGAGATGACTAGTCATTTAACCTTTCTGCTTTGTTTCTCCACATGTGTATGCTAGCATTTAGTGTGTGTGTGTGTGTGTGTGTGTGTGTGTGTGTGAGAGCAGGAGGGGTGCTCTCTGGATTCTGCATCCTGTAAGACAGTCCCATGCAATGAATAATTCTCCTGGGTCTCATGGAACTTTTGAAAATTCCGCCCAGGTCTCTGTGTTCTCCACAACTCTAGGGGGCACCATTCCCTTGAGTGATGAAGTGAAGGACGGTGCAGAGCACAATCTGCACAGCTTTGGGAGAGGTCCTGGGCTTGACAGCGATCCCAACAGAAAGGTGTGACTTTACAGTGGCCTGACTTGGAACCTAGCTTTGTTTGACTCCAAGAATTTTTGCATGGCTGTTAACAGACACTGTATTTTCTAGATTCTGGGGATGTACTTTTGGAGCAACTGAGGGGAATAGCCTGTGTGGTACACAGAGCCTTTTCTAGCGCTGCTCACCAGTTCTGAAACTGCTCTCCATGGAGGGAGCGCACCACTGTGGCTCCCATCTCCAGCACACTGTCCTGTGGCACTGAGAGCTGCCTCGTTGGGTGGTTTTAAGTGTAGCTGCTAGCTTTTCACTTCTTCATGATTCCTAAGCATTTACATATTGAAATATGTATTATGCTATTATAACTTACTTTCCTTAATTTCTCCCTTATATTACAGTTGGGTCAATATATTGATTTTTTAAAAAAATTATGTGGATAGGTTAGTTATATGATCTCTGCTTTCCATTCTAGGATAGTAAGTGGGAGTGACAGAACCTGATAATAAAAGGAGGCCATGGTTCTGATGGGCGGGAAGCCACTCTGTGGCACTTGCTCTAGGAAGGCCACTCTCACAGCGGTCAGCCCACACCCCACCCAAAGCCTGCTTTTCTTCTTCCTTGAAATGAAGTGCTTTGTTATTCCAATTTTCCACAATTTTTTTTTCCCTTGAACATCTCAGGAACCATCATGTCAATGGTGCCTCCAGTAATTCATAAGCTCCCCAAGGACAGCCTTGAAGTGGTGGCTTTTCATGGTCCTGAAATGAACAAGTCCAGCGGGGACAGGGCAAGCACCAGGGGAGGGCCTCCACAGCAGAGCAACAGAGTTCAGGAAGCCCCAGCCCTCAGCTCAGGGCGGCTGGGGCAAAATGGAGAGCCCCGAGACCCAAGAAGAGGAACTTCACCATAGTCTTGGCAAAGTAAGGACTGAGTGGGGGAAGGAAATAGTTTAAAGAAAAAAAGTCACTGAAGAAACAAACTGTCCAAGGTCTGGGTCTATTTAAGATCAGCTTATGAGAACTCCACAGACAAGATATGTTGAGGAATAAAAAAATATATATATTTTTAATGTGATGAGATGGTGACTTCAAAATCCCTGGTAAGCTGGGGATGCAGCTCTGAGGGCGTGCGATTGCTAGCCTGGGCAAGGCCTGGATTTGATGCCCAGCGCCACAAAAACAAAGAAAATCTAACAAATCCCCAGAGGCTTCTGGGGCAAAGACACATCCTTCATCAATGGGAAAATTGGCCAAGTACAGAGGACAGGGTTTTGGTAAGTTAATGGATGGTGGCACCAGAAAGGGCTTGGAAGGGGGACTTTCCTCTTGGGAGCTGCACTTACCATGTCCGGGGGACAACACACATTCCCAAGACAGAGTCCCTCCATTCTAACCTGGGGCAGCAATGGGCCTAGGACCCAGAGGGAAGGGGGCAGTGCCCAGTCTCCAGTTATTTCTAGGAAGTCCCCAAATGGACGCAATGATCTATTAAGTTTTCTAAAGAGAGAAGAAAAGAAGTGGTTAGTTAGATACCTGCAGCATTTCGGGGAAGCTGACTTCTTAGTGTGTGTGCATGTTTTACTTTTGGAGAAGAATGAACCAAAATCCAATGGAAATGTAGAGGGTGCCAGAATTCCATCCCTGGGGTCCCCCTGAGCTCAGCCTGCCTGAGTTCTTATCCTAGCCCCACTGCTGAGTAGCTGAGCGACCTTGGTTACATAACCTCTCTGTGCTTTGGTTTTCTTTCCCTCTGAAATGGGGATAATAACATTATTTTACTGGGTTCTGGAAGTGAAATAAGATAATGTGGTAAAGGAAAATGTTAGAACAGTGTGGTGGCATATGGTGAGTGCTCAATGGCTGTTATTTTAAATTATTTTTTTCATTTGTTTTTTTTAGTTATACATGACAGCAGAATGTATTTTGACATATCATACATACATGTAGTATAACTTCCCATTCTTGTGCTTGGATATGATGTGGAGTTACACTGGTCATGTATTCATATATAAATATAGGAAAGTTATGTCTGATTCATTCTATTGTCTTTTCTATTCCTATCCCCCCTTTCTTATCCCCCAACTCCCCCCTGTCCAATCCAGTGAACCTCCACTCCTTCTCCCAGACCCCGCCAGCCTATTATTAATCATCATCTGCATATTAGTGAAATCATTCAGCCTTTGGTTTGGGGGGATTGGCTTATTTCACTTAGTATGATAGTCTCCAGTTCTATCCATTTATTTGCAAATGCCATAATTTTATTCTTCTTTATGGCTGAGTAATATTCCATTGTATATATGTACCACATTCTCTTTATTCATTCATCTGTTGAAAGGCACTTAGGTTGGTTCTATTGCTTAGCTTCAATAACCATTCTTTGAGCAGTGGCACATGTCTATAATCCCAGTGAATTGGGAGGCTGAGGCAAGCGGATCATAAGTATGAGGCCAGCCTCAGCAATTTAGATACTCTTTTAAAATAAAAAGGACTGAAGATGTAACTCAGTGATAAAGCACCCTACGCTTCAGTCTCCAGTACCATATAAAACAAAACAGAACATCCTAAAACAAAAATCTTTGTTGTCATTACTCCCCACCAAAAAGGGCTAGGTTTTATTAGTTCCTGGTCCCTTCCTACTGATTAACCAATGAAGGGTGGCTTTGGGAACAAAAAGAAGGAGCCAAGGGAGATATATTTGCCTTCTGCCTTCCCCAAGAAGCCAGGGTAGAGGCCAAGTACCCTGGTTCTGGTTCAGAACAGCAGGTGCATTTGAAGTGGAGATTAGCCACGTGGCCCTAAAGATTCAGTTGGTAGGAGATAAAGAGTGATCGTGCTTCTATGGAAGTAATCTATATAGTCAGTCTGTGCCCCAGAACATTTTGATTAGAGAACACTGTTCAGAAGGAGACTCTCTCTTGGCCAGGGGAGAAAACAGGATTTATATCTTTTGTATGTACCACTGCTTAATGCAAAGCAATTTTAATGCAGTTCCCCACTGCATCCTGTTGAAAGAATTCTAAATCCACATCTGGATGCAGGAGAACGAGTGTCAAGATTAATCCACTAGGGGGATGGGGATGTGGCTCAAGCAGTAGCGCGCTCACCTGGCATGCGTGCGGCCCGGGTTCGATCCTCAGCACCACATACAAACAAAGATGTTGTGTCCGCCGAAAATGAGAAAATAAATATTAAAAAATTCTCTCTCTCTAACTCTTTTTTTTTTTTAAAGAAAAAGATTAATCTATTAGTGATGTCTGCTAGGAACACGGGATGTGGAAGTGTCCACACTGACTGGGGAAAAACATCCCAGTCAGCTCTTCATTTCCTGGGCCAGCACAGCTTGGGTTCCTGGCTGTGGCACCCTGGGCTGAGCAATAGTGTGGCAGGTTGGGATTTCCTGCTACTGTGGACCAGCAGACCTGATTTCTCAGTCCTTCTTAGTGGCTCTGGGCATGTCCCTCTATTTAAACTCTCTATGTGCAAGAGCCTTAGAGGGACATGGAGAGGTATTGGGGAAATTTTAGGAATTTTGAACTGGAAAGTGTCATACAGGATATGACGGACATGGTCACTGCCCCTTTGTGGGATAGCTCTGAGAGGTATGTTCTCTCTTGGCTCCCAGGTTCCCCAGTAAGAGTGAGTTCCAGGTACCCACAGTGTTGACTTACCCCCAAACACTCCTTGTTGTGTGTGGTGGCATGCTCCTGTAATCCCACCTACCTGGGGAGGCTGAGGCAGCAGAATCTCAAGTTCAAGGCCAGCCTCAGTTACTCATGAGACTCTGTATCAAAAAAAGAAAAATACAGAGAACTGGGATGTAGCTCAGTGGGCTCAATCTCTAGTACTCAAAACAAAACAAAACACAACACCATTCACTCACAACTTTCCCATGTTCATATATAAATACATGACCAATGTAGCTCCACATCATGTACAACCACAAAAATAGGAAGTTATACTTCATGTATATAGGATATATCAAAATATGTTCTACTGTCATGCAAAACTAAAAGGAACAAGTAAAAAAAAAAAACACAACAACAACAACATCAAACACTATTTACTATTTTCCCTCTCTTTCCCGATCACTTCCTCTCTCCTGGGGTCGCCTTGAGAGGCCTACCTGCCCGGATCCTTATTTCGGGGTCTGCTTCTGCCTACCTAAGGCAGAGGTTAGGTGGCCCAACCACTTTGTGTTACCAAACTGAGATAATTGCCAACCTGCTGCCACCCAAAGAGCAAATGGACAGGATGTAATAAGCATCCACTTAGCAAAGCCCACACACAGCCCAGAAAGAATCAGAACATTTGCAACACAAGGAAGAAGTTCTCTCCCCCCAGCTCAGGAAATGATCCTCTCTCTAACCCCCACCCGGAAAATCTTGTAGGTAAGGGCCTCATGATGCGACCTCCCTCTGGCTTCTCTCTCACCAGCCGTCTGTTCCTAATAACCCCACCCACGCACCAGAGCCTCTCTGACTTGATATTGCAGGACGCTGTCACTTGAAATTAATTGCAACTAATTAAAAATGATCCGGTTAGGACAATTGCACAATGGCGCTCCGGAGACCGCTTCATTCCCAGAGGTTTGGTGGCGTTTGCGGCTGCTGCAGCCCCGGTCTGCTGGACGGGGCCATACATCATCGTGTCATTTTACATTGTTATTTCTCTGAAAGCAGCAATTTAAAAGAGTCTCAGATGAACCTTGAGCAACTTCGTGCTAAAAAGAAAAATGTTACTGTCCAAGATCTGAAAAATATAACATATAGGCTCAAAGAAGCCTCTTGACATGAAAAGCAGCCTTAACTTTGTGCCACGATTTGCATATAATATATAATGTTGTAGTAAAAGGGCCCACAAAGCGGGCAGCGGCTGCGGAGCATCGATCCTCAGCCCCTTTGTTCAAACTGGGTCACCTAGTGTTCCTGGTTATTATTTTATCACAGCCATTTCTCATGTGAGGGGACGGGACAGCATCTAACCCTCTGGGTTCTAGAGACTGCCCACCCTTTCCCCTTAGTGGAGACCCAGGGTCCTTCCTGACTCTGATTTGGAAGACATTGCCAGTGCCTCTTGGTCCTGCCAGTTTCCAAACTGATCCCAGTGGCAGCAGCTGTCCTGGGAAGAGACACACCCCTTGGGCTCAGAGGGGCCCAGTAAACCTGGAGTTGGGGCAGTCAGCTTTGCTAGTAAGCAGCTGGCAGCTCCCACACTCTCTGGAAGGGAGGCCAGGCCACTGGAATGAATTTTGGCATGTTCTTGAGCTGAAAATCATTCCTCAGGTCACCCATGGAAAAATCATTCCTATCAGCTCTATCCCATGGAGCTTTGGAGGTGTCCGTGGACCTCAGAACCTCTCCACGTCAACAAGGCAGTGGGGAGGCAGGTGTTTGAGCAGAGGGGATATGTCAGGAAATTATCTTCCTTAATTATTTTTTAATGCTCTGACCCATTCCTCCATTTTTTAAAAAATGAGTTGATTTTCAAGGGTAGCAACAAGAATAACAGGTCTCTGCAAAAATAGATATTTTTTACAAAAATAAAAAAAAATTAAATCTTTAAAATTCAAGGTCCAGGAGAGATAGAAAAGCCTAGATGGATAAGATGAAAGGTGGAAGGGGAAACCTAGAAAGCAGATATATAGATATACAGACCAATCTTATGTAATTACTAAAATTTGGCTCTGGGCTTCCTAGTGGTCAAAGCAAAAAAAAAAAAAAAAAAAAAAAAGGAAAATAAGAAACATCCTGAATTACCAATGTCACATGATCCTTAAATTGAAAGCAGACAAACTTTAGAAGAAATAAGGCTTTTTTTTTTTTTTCTTCTTGTGGTGTGGCCTTCATGTGGGTCATGCAATAGCCTGTGTCCTCCATGGCAACCATATAGTGATCTAACCTTGAGGGAGGGGTAAAGCTGATTGCATTGGGTACAGTGGCACAGGCCTGTAATCCCAGTGGCTCGGAGGCTGAGGCAGGAGGATTGCAACTTCCAAGCTGGCCCCAGCAAGTTGGTAAGATCCTGTTTCAGAACAAAAGATGAAAAGGGCTGGGAGGATAGCTCAGAGGTGAAGCACCCCTGAGTTCAATCCCCAAGTAAATAAATAATAAAATAAATAAAAATGTTGCTGTCTCACAGTGAGATATTCGAACTGTTTACTAATTTTTCACAGGTCTAGCAATTGCCTTGGCTTTGTCTCTTCCCAACCCTTCAAGTAGGGCAGTTCTGTGCTGAATGTTTCAGGGAGGAGACGGGGCTGAGGGAAGAGGGTAACACGGCAGGTCCTGCAGCAGGTCAGGGGCTGAGGCTAGAATCCAGCCATCTCTGGCCTCTAGGACACAAACTACTTTTGGATTTGACCTCTGGGGTTCTGGACTTTGGCTTATTTTAGGCCTGCTTTGCTCACTCACATGTAGAGACCAAAATCTTGGAAGAGGAAAGGCTACATAGATGTGGAAGCCCACGCCTGACCTCACTTCTTCTGGCCTTAGCTTCCTGCCATGACCCAACTGAGCTTTTTTTTTTTTTTTAAAGTTTTTAAAACTTTGTTCTAATTAGTTATACGTGACAGTAGAATGCATTTTGATACATACATAAATGAAGTATGACTTCTCATTCTTCTGGTTGTGCCTGATGTAGAATCATACTGGTCCTGCAATCATATATGTACTTAGGGTAATAATGTCCAATTCATTCTACTGTCTTTCCTATCCCCCTCCCCCCCTCCCCACAGCACCCCTTCACATTCAAAACACTAGAAGAACTAGGGATTGTAGGAACATACCTCAACATTGTAAAAGCTATCTATGCCAAACCCAAGGCCAACAGCATTCTAAGTGGAGAAAAATCGAAAGCATTCCCTCTAAAAACTGGAACAAGACAAGGATGCCTTCTATCACTACTCCTATTCAACATAGTCCTGGAAACTCTATCC